ATATATATATATATAAGAAGACTTCAAAGGCATAATGTGATGTAAATTTCAGGTTATATTCCAAACGTTTCGCCGGCTTAGGGCTTCATCAGTGGACTAACATCGTATGTTACAAAGCAATGTATAATAAGAAAAAGGCCTGTTACGGTCGAATGACTATGCATTGACTACTATTTGTCCTACACATCTATATGTAAATCTCAGAAACAAAATAAAACAAAAACATGCTTGGTTTAAACAGTAATTCTGGTGAGTTAATACACTCCATGACACAGATTGATGTTGCAGTGGTCCTATTGTTTTATGCATTAGTCGTTACACTTCTGCATAACCACAAAAGAATGGACATGAAAGTACATGGATATGTTGACCAATATTGTAAACAAGGCAAATTAATATTTGTTACAGTTACATCATTGTGAAGCATGTGCACATGTATTAATAAACTATTAATTTATTAATAATGTTTGAATGACATAAATACAAAATATCAATCTGAATCAAATCAAATCAAAGCTTAGTCTACTGGTCTAGTAGAATTTATTTTTTTATCAATTTTGTTTTAATTTATTTATAGCTGCAGGTTCACCTCGATCGAAAAAACCACAGTTAGGCCACTGTGGTCTTATTGAGTGTCAGAATAAAGGACACTGCCGAGGATGGCATTGTCCACTTTGTCACAGAACCGGACCAAGATACAGAGTGAAAAACCATGTGTATTCTGTTCACTGGGCATCCCGGGTAGTAGTTGGAGGTGAGCTGTTACTTATCAATCATTTACAAATTTACATATGATCATAATATTAAAGATATACTGCTACTGCAAAAAAGAAAAGAAAACCAAGCTATATTTTAGTTTAAAATTGTTGCATATAGCATACTTTTGTTGACACAATGAAATTACATGATTAGTAGATATGGAATAATTCTATTCTTTATTTTTCAGGAATCAATTCCTTGCTTTGCAAGTGCAGAATTCCGGGAAAAGTTACCCCACGGCACTGGCATTGCCCATACTGTGCCTGCAATCCGTACTACAAATTGAAGTATTTGGTATCTCATATTGTGCGTACACACAAGCCTAATGCCATTGTGAAAGGCTACAGCCAGCATCGGCTCGCTTATTCTGTTGATTGCACAAGAAGCGACGCTGATGCTGACCTCGCTGCAGATGAACATTCGTTTGACAAAAATGATCTACGTACCGATTCCTGGACTCCAAAAAGGAAGGCACTACCAAAGGACTTTTCGTTCCTTGGTACACATGGTAAGATGCAAATCTTCTGTCGTTAATTTTTTTAATTTCATTTATTTTGGCACTTAATTATTATGAATGTATGAATATAAAAACCAACCTAAACATTCAACAACATCAATACATATTCCCTACTTATTATTCAATAATTAAAATTAATAATTGGTCATTAAAGAAGAAATTGGAATATAGATAAAAGTACTGCCTAGTAAATTCTTTTAATGAGATGGTGGTATAATAACTGGTAATTATTTTTTAACCATAAACCCACTTCAAATTATCTGTGTGTTTAAATAACTTTAAATCTCAGGCCAATTCAAAATACATCCAGTTTCTAATGTTTAGTGAAAAGGGACTTTACTTCACACATATTTTGGCCTTTTCGAAGAATCTCATTTTTTATAATTCAGTAGACTTTTAGGTAAATGATAATATTTTTGTCATATATTTTTTTGACTTATAAAAGGTTGTGAATTGGTTCGGTGTAAGGAACCTGGACACTGCAAAGGGTGGCATTGCTCATTATGTCCAGCTGCCGCTCCAAAGTACAGAATTAGGAACCACCTAGCCACTGTACACTGGGCCTCTCGCATTGAAATTGGAGGTTAGTTAAATTTTTTGTTAAATTTTTATATGAATCCCAACACGATGGCATGCATTTCAATACTTGGAGTATGTATTATACTTTTTTAGAATAGAAGCCATTGTTGTAGTATATTGATTAATTGAATGAATTTATTCAGTGGTCATAATAAATATACTGTACATAAAGTACAAGAAAACAAACAATGACAGAGGAAGAAAAGAAAAGATACTAAGGATAATCCTAAAAAAGGTAAAAATAATACATTATTTCTGCTGGGGTCCTTATATTGAAACAGAACAAAACAAAACAAACAATAGATACCTGTAATATAAAAATAATATCAGCATAAATTGACAAATATCTGTCCTGATCATTCTTTTGGCAGCTTAAAACATCCCAATAATTTGTTTGATCTGGAGTGAAATGCCTCATATATATAACTGTACATATAACATTATAATATTGTTCCTCTACATTTTTGTATAACTCTCTCCCGCAGATAAAAACTTGTTTGAAAATTATGTTGGAGTATAAATATAGCTTAATAAATCCATAAGTTATTTGTCTCTTTCAGATAAAGTTTCTGTTATGTGCAAGTGTAACAAGTCACCGAACTCGGCACCGAGGCACTGGCATTGTCCGTTCTGTGTGATTAAATGTCTGCGGCCGAAGAAGATGATAAGACATATTATGGATGTCCATAAGCCAAATGAGGTCGTGAAAAGATTTTCCTTTGGGAAACCACATGGATTCTTTAGCAGGAATGATGATGGCATACAAAAAGTCGAGGAAGAGGAAGAAGTAGCTCCAGAACCCATTAAAAGTAAGAATCTGGCAAAGGAATAATATTGTAAAGTCTTTACTTTCGCGGCCCTTTATTTACGCAGTTTTACAATTTGTAACATTTTTCATCCTTTTATTTTCACGATTTTACAATTTCCAGTAGTTTTTCAACATGATGCAGAAACCTACCATTACTTTTTTTTTGGCCTATATGATAGCTACAGTGTAGAGGGCCTGATTTTAGTGGGTTTCTCTTGATTTCTTTTTAGCAATCTCCTGCCCTCCTGATTTTTAGGCTAGCTAGCTAACTTGACCAGGCACTGCACACGTACTGCAGCTACTCCTCCAGGGCTACAACCAGCCTGCATGTGAAAGCTTGACCGGGGTTTTTCAAATCAAGATGTTAGAAATCTTTCAACAAATGTAGGCCTAACAAAGTCTACAAAAATGTTTACTGATATATTAAAATTTTATTTCAAAAATAGTATAAATAATATACAATTTTTGTTAAAGTCTTGTGATTATGTTTTGTAAAAATGTGTACTAAAGAGTTGTTAATTCAAGTATTAAACTACTCCCTATCCTCAGATTGTACACATTTTAAAGAGACAGAAGACTTTCCTGTTATTATTTATTTTATCAGAGATCTACCATACCTTAGCTGTACTGTGGCTGTACATTCATTTTGCATCACATACTCCAGTGAACTGACACATGAGCAAGCGAATTCACTGCTTGTAATCTTGGTGCTGGTGCTGCTGTAAGGCCACTGCAGGTCTCTCTGGGGTGGGGAGCCAACTAAAATTTCTAATTTTGTATTTTGAATAATTTCAAAAATAGAAATAAAAAACAAAAAAAAAATATAATGTTCTAAGTTATGATGCAGATATAAGTGATTGAACTTACACACTTAATTATAACTTTTAGCAATGTGTTTTTTTTTTAGCTCCTATGCCAAATTGTGAGGTGATTCGTTGCATTGGGCAAGGTCATTGTAAGGGCTGGCACTGTCCCTATTGTAGTGCCACTGGACTGAGGTATTTAATGAAATCTCATCTTCAATCAGTGCACTGGGCTTCTCGTATTGAATTTGACGGTTAGTTTTTTTCTTTTTTTTTTTTTTAATCTATTTACTTATCCATGTGACCACCTAACCCCAGCACAATGTTTTATCTGAAATACCTTTTTGGTATTGTGGTAGTTTAGGTTGACTGAACAAATAAGACAACGACAACCATAACGTTCCAGATTCTTTTAATCGTCACTAGATGTGTATAAGAGACAGGTACAGTAACGATGGATGTGTTCAATAGCTAGCAACCACATGAAAACCACTATATATACCCAGACAAGCAAGATTATTACGCGCATACAGTGTTACGTAACATTCAGACAGCTTAATTACTGTAAGTACCTGGATGCAATACTTGCGGTGCAATTACTATGCGCCAAAAAAGAGTTCAACACGTTTACTTGCTCTTCCACAGTATTATATTTTTTTTTTACAGATAAAACTTCAGTATTGTGTAAATGCAACAATTTTAATAAAATAACACCAAGACACTGGCACTGCCCACTGTGTACGGACTGTCTCTTATACACATCTAGATGTGTATAAGAGACAGTAGCTGTACTGTGGCTGGACATTCATTTTGCATCACATACTCCAGTGAACTGACACATGAGCAAGCGAATTCACTGCTTGTAATCTTGGTGCTGGTGCTGCTGTAAGGCCACTGCAGGTCTCTCTGGGGTGGGGAGCCAACTAAAATTTCTAATTTTGTATTTTGAATAATTTCAAAAATAGAAATAAAAAACAAAAAAAAAATATAATGTTCTAAGTTATGATGCAGATATAAGTGATAGAACTTACACACTTAATTATAACTTTTAGCAATGTGTTTTTTTTTTTTTAGCTCCTATGCCAAATTGTGAGGTGATTCGTTGCATTGGGCAAGGTCATTGTAAGGGCTGGCACTGTCCCTATTGTAGTGCCACTGGACTGAGGTATTTAATGAAATCTCATCTTCAATCAGTGCACTGGGCTTCTCGTATTGAATTTGACGGTTAGTTTTCTTTTTTTTTTTTTTTTTTCAATCTATTTACTTATCCATGTGACCCCCTAACCCCAGCACAATGTTTTATCTGAAATACCTTTTTGGTATTGTGGTCATTTAGGCTGACTGAACAAACAAGACAACGACAACCATAACGTTCCAGATTCTTTTAATCGTCAATGTTTAAGAGATTCACGATCACCAATCATATGTCGATGTGCACACATCGACCCAACAAACAAAAACCCCTGTAAAACAATCATACATTTGTAACTCATGTACAGCATTACTACACGATACCATTACATCAATTAATCATTTGACAATATTACCTAACCATTACAATATCAATGCATAGTTACATAACAATGTGCATACCTGGATTTAAACAAAAACTAACTTTGGAGGAACACAACCATCGTTAGCCACCTTCAGTACATACCATACAACAGTATTCAATCTAGGAATGAACCATTATAATTGTTAGCGATGTAAAGATAACGAAAATATTCAAATACAAAACGAGTCCAATAATACACTCTACAGCTTCACACACAGCTGTACCATTGCGGCATGCATACCTATCATCCACTAACACCATTTCTCGATTGCAGATACGAAAAATACTACCTACACTGATACTCGAATCCATTATAAATAAATCATTATCAAACATCGTTAAAGATATCGCAATGTATAGCATTACTATTATCAAGATACAATGATTAACAATTCATTAACATACCTGTAAACTTATTCAATTAAGTTTACGTTGCCAAACCACAAACCGTACAGTAACGATTGATGTGTTCAATAGCTAGCAACCACATGAAAACCACTATATATACCCAGACAAGCAAGATTATTACGCGCATACAGTGTTACGTAACATTCAGACAGCTTAATTACTGTAAGTACCTGGATGCAATACTTGCGGTGCAATTACTATGCGCCAAAAAAGAGTTCAACATGTTTACTCGCTCTTCCACAGTATTATATTTTTTTTTACAGATAAAACTTCAGTATTGTGTAAATGCAACAATTTTAATAAAATAACACCAAGACACTGGCACTGCCCACTGTGTACGGATGTAACGTTTGCCAAGTCGATTCGACTGCTTCATCACATCTTGGCCACTCATAAGCCAATAACATCTGTAAAACGCTATTGCCAGGGAAAATTGATGTCAAATGTGAGCCAAGTCACAAAGATAGAATCACCGAAGAGGAGAGAGAAACCACCCGGTTACAGTGAATCACTAGTATACAACGGTGTAGGTTAGTACAGTATATGGCCAAAGTGTGTTTAGCCAGAAAAAAACAATAGAGGAATAGTAATGTTGTATTTCTGTAGCACTTTTTGCTTGTGGTTAAAAAAGTACTTGGAAGAATTCATTCCTACTACATTCAACTTCCCAAAGGGTCATAGTGTGTCAGTTTTGGGATCAATGAGTGCACATGTGGAGGGCCCTGTCATACTTGAAGGATGTCCTGCATTCTTGAAGGATGGATGTCCTGGGCTCACATGAGTGCACATGATTTAGTTTGTCTATACAGGGCCTATAGTTTCTAGTCCTTATTCAAGGTTCTACTACCAAAACCATAAGCAAGGAGATGTCAAACCGAATGTAGATTGTGATGTCTTGTGTGATGTGAATGGTCTGTTGCATGATACTCTATCGTTTCCACGTAGGTTGTGATATTATCTGGTGCGACAGGGATGCTCACTGCGATGGATGGCACTGCCCATTTTGTACCACAAATGGAAAGAGATACTTGATGAAAAGGCATCTGCGAGCAGTCCACTGGGCATCCCGTGTAGAGGCTGGAGGTAAGGCCTACTTTCCTTGAAATCGCTGTCGCTAGTGTTTTCAGTGCAATCATTGTACTGTGTAGCAGTCCTGATGCAATCGGGAAGGCTCCCTGATTTGATCGACCAATCAGCATTACTGAAAGCTGTCTGCGATAGCGTGTAGCGATTGTATGGAAATCAAGCTTAAAAGTCTCTTTTAACACAGTAGTTATTCTTATGTATAATAATCTTAGTAGTGTTGATTTGAATACTATAAAGATAGATTTATAGTAATAATAATAATAATAATAATTAGTGTATAACCCTAGATCTTAATTAATTTGCTTGAATGGCCAAATTATTGTGAGTTGATCTCACAGGCCAAAGATAATCTCCGCCTGGCAATCGTTATCTTGGTGAAACACTTTCTGCTAAGATAGATCTATTTGAAAGGTTTTTTGCAATCTTAATATATACTTTTAATTGTACTCTGTCTGTACCAGCGATCTAAACCACAAATTGGGTTGTCGCGAGAATTTCTGTGTGGACTTGTCATCAGTTCAACAGTTGTTAGTCAACTTTGGTGAGTCGCTTTATCAATGTAAGTGATCACAATACAAAAACCTACCGTACGCTACAAGTCTCATATACATTGAACCATCCCCTGTCCAGCCACCTATTACAACCAGTTTCTATATTATCATTCACATTAAGAGGTTAGCTGTGTGCATGAAAGATTGCTTCAATAAATGTATATCAAAATTGTCCAAGAAAATTTAGAATTATTATTATTATTTGTTTTATCATTATAATTATAGAAATGAAATCTGTACTATGTAAGTGCCCATTGACGAAGCTTAAAGACCAGCGCCACTATCATTGTCCACTGTGTACCAACGTTTCTTTTGCTAAACCTGCATCCTTGCAAAAGCACATCCTACGTGTGCACAAACCAACTGCTGATGTTAAGCAATACTCAAGGAATCAAGTCATTAATGTAATGGAGGCCAAACCAGCTATTGACGCATTCACAACAAGTGAAGAAGCCATGGAAGCAACAGGGGCAGTAGAAGCAACGGAAGCGAGTGAGGCGACTGAAACTGTAGAAGCAACGGAAGCGATAGAAACAACGGAAGCAATGGAAGCGATAGCAGCAACAGATGCGATTGAAGCAACGGAAGCCATGAAAGTAATGGAAGCAATCCAGAATGACGTACAGCCAGTTATTAATAAGCATGAACGTCAAATAGGTTTGAAAATTCAATTTTTTATCATTGATACGGACTTAACTATTTATATTTTGTAGATCACCAAATTGCATTTATTTCAGTGGCATGAATATCTGGAAGAATTATATAAATAATAGCATAAAGATACACTTTTATTTTTCTGATTATTTGGAATATATTTGTGTAGTGAGTGTTTTTCTGATCATCAGTTATGGACGCAATTGTGAAATATCATAAAAATTAAGGCATATACAGTACATGTTTCCTGCTTGTGATTCACAACACAGCAATTCCATTCCAAACCATTGATATCCAAGTGATATTACCTTCAGGGAGGATGTTGCCACTCCTCCTGCAATATTATTCTGTTTATCTCTGAAGCGTATGCTGGTGTGCCCATTTACACTCCTGCTTGAAGGCAAACCATTTACATTGTTTGTGAAGGGTGACAAAAATATAAATAGAATTCATTGCCCAAGAACACAACCTAGATACACAAAATATCAGTTTTCTGTTTTGTTTTGTTATTAATATGTTACAAAATATATATGATAATCAAAATATGATTGATGTGATGTTACTACTTATATGAATTATAGATTGGGATATGATTAAGTGTACGGAGACAGGCCACTGTGAGGGATGGCACTGTTCCCTTTGCATCATGACAGGAGATATACAAAAATTAAAGCAACACTTTTCAGCTAATCATTGGGGGTCGCGGGTGGAAGTTGGGGGTAAGTTAAAACACTTTTTTTTCCTGTTATCATCCACCAAACACATCTCTCATCATCATCATTATGATCAAATTATCAGCATCAACATTTATGTCATTATCATTAGGATTGTCCATGTTATCGTCAACATCATTGTAATCATCAAAACACAAATTGAATCATCGTCTAAGTTAACATCATTTTAATAATTAGCATTATGATTCATGTTATAAACATCAAAACCATAATTATTATCATATTGTGTCAACATTAACATCATCATTAGTTGTAGCTGTAACTTTTGCTTTTCAGGTTATGTCAAAGAGTATAGAACTTGAAAAGGTCCGGCTTTTGGGGTTTCGTTGAAATGCAATCCTATCTCGAAAAGTATTACTAGAACTAGAGCGTCCTTCTAAAGAACATAAAAGGTGTTCGTATCGATGCTACTATCAGTAGAATGCATGTTCGAGTTTTAAATTCTAATAGACTGCCCCCTATCTCATAGTTATACTTTGTTTTTCGTTTCATTTCATGCATGAAAAAATCAAGCCAGTTGGACCTCTTTGCAATTCTATACTCTTTGGTTATGTTAATAAAATAATTATTTTTGTGTTTTGTTTTTTTGACCAGGTATTTATCGTCGTCTTATTTATTCTTTGTAATTAAAAAAAAATATATATGTGAAATGGTATCTCAATATATTTCTTGATTTTAGACCTTGCTATTGTAACATGCAAGTGTAGAAAGGTTTCAGGACTGGGTCACCACCATTGGCATTGCCCACTCTGCGTCAACCGAAGCTTCTCAAGAATTGTAACTCTGGAAGATCACTTCGTTTATACGCACAAACCGAATGCCGAGGTGAAGAGGTTTTCAAGGGGTAACCTTGTTACTACAAACGACTACACTAACTCGGTCGGTAGTACACAACCAAAGCTGGAATACGGCTCTGAACAGACCACTGCAGGTTAGAACAGCATATGCGGCGAAAACAAGCCAAACCAGTCACTTGCTGCAAATCGTGTTTTAGAGATATTGTCCGAAATATGCTGAAATGTCAAAATTGTTGAAATCTATTTTATTTCACTAAACTAACCTTTATATATCTATACATCCTGATATGCTGTTACCTCCACATTTTCAATGTTAAAACAACAATTTTTAACAATTTGTTGATGGTTTCTGCCCAATAAATGCCTGAAATTATAAAATTTGAATTCTGATTTTTCAAATATTGTTCTTTTAAACAGCTATATGTTTAAACGTTTGTAACTTCATAAGAAAATGTTGGATTTAAATGGTTCTTTTACCATTTTATATCTCTCATTTTCATCTTTAACCCTGTATTAATAATTAAAATTTATTGTTGCGACTAATGGAAGATTTGGCTTGTCTTTGCAACATATAATTGAGTCAGCCTTGAAAAGCCTTGTTCGATAACTAAGATTTTGCAGATGTAATGTATTTCTGCCCCTTGCATATTGTTACTAAGGTCCCAACACATGATGTGCATATATTCCAAGCCTTCTTCTGATTGGTCAGCTGTTAACTTGATTGACACTCTGGAAAGTCCATTGTTAATGGAGGTACATTATAACTCAGGGACGTAGCCAGGATTTTGAAAGGGGAAGGGGGGAGCCTTTATGCGAATTACGTATGACCCCGGTGGGTTCAAGGGGGCGAATCCCCCTGTGTAGCGCACTCTGAACGTGCAAAAGTGAAAATTGCAATAGACGCATTATAAATAAGTGCAAAAATAATTATATAATAAATCAACAGGTTGGGGTTGAGGCGAGAAAATTTATGATTAGGGCATCTCTAGATGGCCGGAAATTACACTCTTGTACTTCAATTTGAATATATTTTTCTTTTTTTTTTCCTTAAAAAAATGAGGGGGGCCTTGAATCCACTCTGCACAAAACATTCTTTATCCAGAATAGTCGTAATCACGAAAAATGGACATGAAAAACCAGATCACATCCTAAAAACAAACAGCAGTCACTAAGACATACACCAGGATCTGTTTTGAAAGGTGGAGGGGGAGGGCATTTTGTGAGTCGACACCCACATCAGCCCCACATGTTTGGAGCTGAGGTGAGAAAATTTGAGGAAATAGTACCTCTAGATGGCCAGAAATGACACTTTTAGTAAAATTCATCATCATCACATCACCATTATTCAAAATGAAGCGCCAAAAAAAGATCTCATGATCTTTTATCAGGGATTTTTGACAACCATAGAGATCTTATTAATGTGTGTGTGTATACCATAGAAAACAAAGCTTAAAAACATTGTCTTTGAGTATGTACTTTACATAGGGCTACTTCAAAAATGTTTTCACAACCACCTCAGCCCCACCACGGCTGAGGTGAGAAAATTTGAGGAAATAGTACCTCTCGAGATGGCCGGAAATGACACTTTTATATAGTAAAATTCATCATCATCACATTACCATTATAGTCAAAATGAAACACCAACAAATTTCTCATGATCTTTAATCAGGGATCTACTAACTATATATACTATATTATGATCAACAAATCACAACTTTTTTTCGCATTTAGCACTTCTTCACTTTTTATTGTTATTAATAATAATATCAATTATTACTATCATCATCATCATCATCATTGTTATTATTATTATTACTTTTAGTAGTAGTATTATTAAACAAACATTTAAAGAAACTTGCAAAAGGATAAAAACGAAATTGAACCACAGCATCGCATTTCTATCTTAAAAGACCTGGCCTGAGATTTATGGATTTAAGATTTTTTTAAATCTAGCTTAGGCCTATGTGTTCTATTAGGCCTATGTATAACGTGTACTGATGCATATTTACATGTTTAGAAGTATTCATTTTGAAAGAATTTGTATTGGCT